CATTAGATTTAATAACTTATTCAGACAAGTTAATTTAATATGACAATTAATTTATTTATTAATTCTTAGAATAAATTAAAAGATCAACTAAGAGAAGAAGAAAAGCATGTTAAATACAGAGATTCTGTTAATACCCTTACAGGTAAATAATTATAAAAATTTATAAATAAATAAATTTTATAATTTAATAATTGTATTTATTTTAATAAGAAACTTGAATAACGAAACTAATGAAATTCTAGAAGAATTGGCAAATTATGAGTAAGAAAATATTAACCTGGAAGAAGAAAGAAACACGCAATTTCTAAACAGAAGAAAGTGACAATGGTAATTTCTACAGTAGGTTTTATTCATTTATGTTATTTTGATGCACAAATATATTTGAGAAATACAATAAGCTTTTATTATAGGATCTTCATGGACTTTCGGAAGCGAAAACAGCATTACGATTCAATGAACAGGATTTTAATGATCGAATGGAAAAAATGATGGACTTGAAAATATCTTTAGAGGTCCAAGAAAGTGAACTCGAAAAATCAGGGAAGGCTTAAAGGGTATGTGAATCGATTATTTTAATCTAATTGTGTAAAGACCTTTTTTATATTATAATAAATTTAATTTTATATAAAGGCAAGTCAGAAGTTTATTCAAACCAAATTGAAAAGAACTTGCAACCTTGGTTAGAGAAAATCATTGCAAGGCAATCACTTATTGATGTCAACCAATCTAAGTATAAATGAGAAAGTTGATTCAATAAAACAAGATCTTAAACAAGCAGAAGAAGATGCTTTCACGCTTAGAGAAATGTCGGAAAAGGTATTATTATAAGGCATCAATTGCTTTTTTTGTGATGATTTAATTATTATTGAACTTCTTCTTTAGAAACAAGAAATCTCATCTAAAAAGAATCAAATCAACTAGTAATTCAACAATTGGACACTGATTTAAAGGTTATTATTTAACATATAAATTAATATATTAAGTATTTTAAGATTCTCATAAATATTTTTTATTAATTTAGCATTACTTTAGGCAATAACTTTTCAAGTCTAGTCTTGCCGATTCTCGACAAAGAGAAGCTGAGACGAAAACTTTTAAATTCTTCTCAGTCTAGAGGACAAGTTCTCAGTAGCTTGATAAAGTGGTCGTATAAAAGGATTATATGTAAGTTCGTCGGGGCGGAGCGTTCTAAAATTTGTTTTGCTGAAAATCTTATTTATTTTAATTTTTAATTAGGATCGTTTGGGTAACCTTGGTGTCATTGATGATAAATACGATGTTGCGATTTCAACCGCCTGTCCTGCATCGTAGTTGATTTTATTGAAGTTGTATAGAATACCTTAAAAGAAACGATTTAGGTTGCGCCAAGTTCATTCTTTTGAATGAACTGTCTACCATGGACATGTGCCCGATACAAACTCCTGAAAATCTACGTCTTTTTGATCTATTAAGTCGAAAGATAACAGTTCATTCCAGCATTTTATAGTGTGTTACAAAACATTCTGGTTGCCCAAAATCTACAACAAACGAATCAGATCGCATTTACTAGTACTCGATGGCGCGTACGTTAACGGCGGAGGTAACAAAGTGTTTAAAGAAGCAGGATTTCAAATTTTCTTCTAAAATAACATAGCGAAATTGGAAAAGACCGTAGCCACTTTGAAATGCAGTGGAAAGAATTAAAATGAAACCTTTAGATTAGAACCTCAACTTCAAGAGAAA